CGATGTTAAGTACTGCGTAATTACTGATGTCAGAGAAAAGAAAAAGATATTCAGCGAGCTCTGGAGCTTTTGTCTTAGCTCTTACGTTTTAAAGCAATTTCGATGTATTCTACCTAAAACTGTGATCGGCGGTATAAGATTCGGCTGCTTAAATTGCAAGAAATAGCGAAAAGGATACAAAATACGAGGGCGAGCCATTAAAAGTTGAAGACACGTTAGCGCCAAACTGTTTCGACATAATGGCTAAAGTTCCCGCCGTCCCGTCCCGTTTTCGTCGTACCCCTTTATTATTTTATATTTCGCGGCATCGCGCGCGCCAGTTGGAGATAACAGAAATTATACCTGCGTTTAAAAGTAGAACAACTGTTAGAGACGTCGCGAAACTTTTAATACTACGATGCCAGGCCGATTTCATCTTCGCGAGAATCCAGACCTTTCGCCTCCGAGTCTAATTCCCCGCAAGTCTGTGTATGTATCTAACTTTCGATATGGTGTAGACGGAGCCACGCAAACATTTTAACTTGGTATGGGATATTCCGGTTTAAATTCAATGTGAGATAGGGATGGAAAAATATTTCTTCAGATACTTTTAGAAACTGAAACTAAAATGAGCCACTGAAATGGTCACTAAAGGAAATATTTTTGCGAAAAATGTTAAAATTTCTCTCATTATTTCTACACACAAAATTTTACAGATTTGAAAATAATTTTGTTGAAAACTTAAATTGGTTATTCGAATATTAAAACTTTTTACTCTTATTATTTTTTAATTTCCAACATAATTATCTTAATGATTCAACAAAATTATTTTCAGAACTGCATCTACCAAAATTTTAAATCTTTCAGTAAAATCATTCCTTCCCTGTATACATTATTTCTTTCACAGAGTTTGAAGTAATCGTTACATGGACGTGAAAATCGCCATATTCCACCATTAAAAATGTAGCATTGTATATGATAGATTATAGGCTCCCAATGTGAGCGTTATCATCCTCCGGTGGTCACTGAGGAGATCTAGGGAGGCGTTGCTAATCCTAAGAGCAGTAGAAGGACATTGAGAAGTAAGTGGTCAAAAAAACACGCCAGAGAAATTTAATCTCCTAAATATTTTCTAAACAAACACTTAAAACATTCACTTGATTATATATAAATATTGCAGTTATGCATTTTTATAGAATTTTTAAGAATCAAATATGTCAATCAACCCTCCATACATATTGATTTAAGTTATGATATGTGAGGTTTGTTTTTTCTATTACGTGCATTTTTTTCGGCTAACGTTTTCTTGTACAGAATGATCGAAGTAAATGCATCTGTGCATGTTTTGTCAGGTTTATTAATAGAGCACCGCTGTGTGAGTAATATTTTTTATTTCTGTGTAATTTTCTTTTTGTTTCTTTATTTAGAGATAGTTTGCCGGTTACCCGATTTACCAGTTTATTCGCGAAGGGAGGGCGTTGAACAAAAAAAAAACTTAGAAAGGAGGCGATGAGCCAGAAAAGGATTAGGAAATTATGTGGTAGATATTTCGTGACATTCTTCTATATAATAATTACTGTCTCAGACAAAAGGACAAAAAGGATTCACTTTCATATTACGAAAATACGAGCTGTGTATTACTCTCTATATTTCTTGGAGTGAAATTTCACTTCAAGAATGAAAATACTGTCACTATTGAAAAAGAGTAGAAATATTTGCATTATTGAATAAGAACAGCAGATTTTCACTCTTATTTTTTGAATGAGATTTCAATCTTTTGGAGTATAATTCATTTAAAAAAACAATGAAGACTTCCTTCCTTTTGCTGGAGTAAATCTTATTCCAAAAGATGGAATTTTTACTTAAAAAAAGAGAGAGAGAGAGAGAGAGAGAGAAAGAAAGGAGAGTGAAAATCTGTTACTGTTGAAGAATGCAAATATTTCTCCTTTTTTTCAATAATAATGGTATTTTCATTTTTTTGGAGCGAGACTTCACTCCAAGAAATTAAGAAAGTAATACACAACTATCGTAATGTGAAAGCAAGTCCTTTTCTACTATGTCTGAGACAATAGTTATTACAAAAGAACGTCACGGAATATCTACCACACACAATGTCATATTTTTAACTGTGGGACTTGGAATAAAAATTATTCACAATTCAGCACCTTTGAAAGATTAATTCGCGGAAGGATCTTTCTTTTTTCCATTACGCGTAATATGGGAAAATTCTTCCAGAAAGATTTTCGTTTCACATTTAAATAAGGAATTTCTCCCCGTTTCACACGCCACTCACGAACCTTCTCGGAAATATGGAGCTGCGCGTACAGATTATGGAGTATGAAATACGTGCATGGGGATGCTCTCAGATGGGTGCGAACATCAACGGGACCGGTGAGCGCCGCGAGTAAGCGAGTAAATACGAAAAGCCCATAATATTCGCACGAGCGGGCGAACAGGGTGTCGTGCATTAGCGAGGCGTTTCTTCGCATGCGTCATCTGGGTACGAGATGTACCTTGCAATTGCGGATTAGCGAAGACCGAACGTCCGCGCGGTCGGACATATCACCATGCGCATTTCTACCATCCCTGCCGCGGCCGACTTGTTACAAGCACGTACAAGCGCGTTTCCTCGAGCGTCCGGCAAACACGCACGGCACGTACGTAACGCGCAATCCGCCCGCTACACGCACGTATAACCGTATATAATATAGTGGATCCGCAGCGTCCGTAATGTAATCACGGGTGACACAATTAATCACTGGACCATCCAACCCCGCTAGGCCATTAGCGATTGCGACACACTCAGGGCTCCCGTTGATAGGCGGATGCGTTTCGCATACTCGTGCATACGAACCGCACGCGTGCACGCGTGCAAGCAAAAGGATCGAAAAGTACGCGAGGGCGAGGGAGAGAGAGAGAGAGAGAGAGAGAGATCGGCGCTCGACAGGATCTTTCCCCTTTCCCCCTTGTCACCGATTTTCCGCGCGGCTCATGCGCGTGATTAATTGGTGCCATTGTATATCGCTAGATTATTATAGGATATAGTAGTGGATCTCATCGATCTGCAGCCAACGATTGATTGATTCCGATGTCGTGAAATCTATTTCATAGGTGCATCAACTAACTGCGAGTTCGATATGTACTAACGAGGCACCGATCTCGTCCACTTTAATTAGAAGCCACTTACTTTCGAGATTTACAAAACTCACGAAGATGGATGTATCAATATTTAAAAAAAGATATCTTACTCTTTATATAATATATATATA